GTCCCGTTAGGCTCCGTGGATGGGGATCTCGGGATGATCATACCCGATAATTGGAAACACTGAGTGGTATGGCTGGGTGTCGTAAACGGTGGCGTTCGTGCATCTTGTCGATTTATCTGCAGAATCAGTGCAACGAAATCCTAAATTTTCTCTTCAATCCTACTTTCCACCTTTCCTGCCTTTCTCCTCATGTTCATATAAATGGACAGCCAAAAGACGGCAACCAATACCGGCGCACGATAGTGCCTGGTTAATGGTTGTAGAAACTGAAACTGAAACTTTGCCCTCCCACTTGAGTGTTAACAATTCCGCACGAGAAGGCAGTGGGTCGGACTACTGATTCATGAAAGACTCTATATCGTGGGTTGTAATGGGAGCGCTCTGTGTTGGTAATCATTTTAGCTTCTCAATTAACAGTCATACTTGATCCACGTGGTTTCCTTTGTTCCGTCAGATTCATCCCGTCCCGTGGCTATTTCAATGTCTTTCGAACAGAAAGGTTAGCTTACCACTGAGTTTTTTTTAATAATAGATATCCAGCACTCACGCCGCTGAATCGCACGTACGAGCTGGAGACCACACCAACCTTTATACACAGGGTATTTCAGTCTATCGCTTAAACATTTTGATCACTTCGACGTCTTCATTAAGACACCAGTCATTACCACCTCATCTCCTCTGGAAGTTGATGAAAACGACCTAGTTCCATCCCCAATCAAGCGAATCCAGTCGGATTTGAATCCACAATCACCATCAGTTCATACTGTCGCGGTAATGTCACCTTTTGATTTTTTCTATGGTTATCAGGCAGGAGTACACCTCTGTTCTAGTCCAATAACTCCCATTCCTGATTCTAGTCAGTTGGCAGCCCATTTAGAGGTTAGTTCTAACTATTTTAGTAAACAGTATGCTGTGCCCAGGATTACTTTGAACTCCCCAAACAACGCCAGCCAAACATTTTGTCTGCACCCATGTCTCTTCATCGTGGCCGTCTAAAGACACTGGCCCCAAGCACATCTCCTCGTCATGGTGACCTTTTGCACGTAAGCGATCACTTGCCATCTGACTGATGCTTTTTCAGGCACTGCGATCGAATCAGCGTGAGGCAGATGAAAACCTGATAGATGAGTTAGTTTGCAAAGTAAGTGGTTTGTATCCTCAGGCATTTCTCAGATTATTCTCAGTTTATTGTAGAGACGTTCTGATCACATCGCTATTCGAATCTAATCATTTCACTTTCATATTTTATGACCATTAACCACGCACTTACGTGCGCCTGTTTTGGTTGCTGTCTTTTGGTACCCATTTTGATAAAACAGCAGAATGAAGATTGGAATGTTGAAAGCAAATTCAAGCGGAAGGTGGAATTCGTATAGAGTGGTGTTACGAGAATAATGAGTGGATGCGCGAGCGCCAATTTTTGCGACACCCAGCCATATCACTCAGTGCCTCTAACCGTCGGTGATCATGGTCTCGGGGTCCCCATCCGAGAGCCTAAAGGGGCCTATGTGGCCTAATCTCCGGGTTAGGGTTTTCATACCCTCATGCAAGGTCTTAGTTTGACCACCCTTGATCTTTTTCCAATCGCTACCTGCCTCGACAAACATCGCTCGCCGTGGCAGCCTATCTGGTGACATGCGTAGCACATGCCCCTACCAGCG